CCCCCACAACAACATCCAAAAAACTGCAAACACTTTTTCACACCACTGTAACTCACAGTTTTAGTTAAATGTATATTAGTTTTTAGAGTTTGTGTCTGAACAAAATAAACGTTAAACTGCTGGACTTTATACCTGAACATTTGCTTTGCTGAGATTTTCATAAGCAGGTATATTGTAGACGAATTGACTTTGCGCTTAGACCTAGCCGAGCAGGACGTTTATTATTAACACGCTTTTTTTAGAAGTGTTTTAGCAGCGGCCTGCAGGCGTGCATTTGAATGAATTTTAAAAGCTTGAGAAAACAACAGAACAAAAATCTAAATCTTTCTGAATGTGTGACAAGGGTAAATATTTTTTAAAATATTTGTGTACAAAACTAGATTCCCAGGCTAAACCTGCTAGAAGTCGGGGAGCCAGAGGCTACTGTCAAAGCAACAATTCAGACAGTCTTGGAACATTTTTGTTTTGAGCTCTGAAACAGGGTGAATGTTCTGTTAAGCTGGTTAGAGATTATTTGGATTTTATTATTAGTGTTACTTTTCACTGAAAACAAGGTGGTAATTCTGTTATGCTGTGCTTAATAATTCACCGTGCGCCTTGCATTATTCATTTACATGACATTGTTATGCCTGACACTTTTCTCAAAGGAAACGACATGAAGATATTGTAGTCTGATACATATGCAAGGTGATACGAAAGTGAAAGTCCTCAGAAAAGTCGATGGTTGAGATATTATTTGCCACATGGCTTCTGAATTTAAGCTAACTGAAGTTTTTTCTCAAGATAAAGGCAGACCTAGAAGTGGGCATTCCATGTGGCCTTCTTATTATGTGGGTAATGTGTATTTTCAATTTGGCTCAGTGATACAATAGCTGGCTGTTAGCCTGTGGTGGAAGCATACCATAAAGAGAAGAACGTATCCTTGGTAAAGCAACAGTTTATATAGAGTCCAAAGGTTTTTTTGCTAGATGAAGCAATGTAATGGTATTACACTGAGCCTGATTAAAATGTGAATTGCTGTTTCAGTGTAAGACCTTTGTATTGTTATTACTGATTAGAAAATGCAGGCTGAAGACATTGGCAGATATCCTGGAATAGAGATAACTACATTTACTGTGCAAAGCCTTAGCTATTGCAATGCCCGCATTCTGTTTTTCTGACAACAAAAGCACATTCAGAGTTTGATTTTAAAAAGACCTGTAGTACAATTGGTTTAGAAAAACAAATAGCCTAAGTGAAAGATTATGTAGGGCTCACAAGGTTCCTCAGATGCATTATTATGTATTGTTACAAAAAAGAGTAAATATCAAGATTTTTAATGATACCGGCTTTTCATGGAAATAATAAAGTTAATATTTTTACCCTTTTACATTAGGGGATTTCTGAGCATTACACACTGCGAGGTTCCTTTTACTCTCCAGCACACTTCTGATGAGGGAATAATAATCAGGCCCAAACTTAGACAAACAGACAAATCCCTTTTAAAAATAATTTCCATAGCTGCACAACACACATTACAGACAGATACTGTATGTACAATCAGTGGGTTCCAGAGTCCTACTTTATTTATACCCAGGCAATTGCACAATTCTGTCCTGGTAAATATACCACAGAACATTTGAGACAAATAGAGGAATAAAAATCTGCTTCCAAATCAAAATTAAACCTATCCACAATGCAATGTTCTAACAATGCATCATTAAAATACAAGAGACTAAATGGTTTTTATCCAGAAGCTTCCACTATATGGGAAATCCTAATTTCCTGAAAAAATAAAAGAGCAAGTTCTCTTGTAATACTACTCAGATTACCTAGGAAGAATTGGGTTCCCAGTCTGGTAAGAAAAAGGATCTCTCCCAGATGCATCTAAGGAGATGATGTATGATATTGATGTTTATGGTGATAATGATGATGACTGATGAGGTTTGTTCTCCCTTCTTTCCTTTTTCCCATCCACTCCTCTTCCTGTTTTCCCTTTCCTCCTCCTCCATGTCTGCTCCTGCTCCTGTAGTTATGCATCTGTCTTGATGACCACCCTAAGAATGGCCCAGTCAATGCTGAGTGTTTGTTCTTTGATACAGCAGTAAAGTGATTTACAGCGCAGTTCACTAGGCAGAGTAAATCATTAGGAACATCCTTTGATCATTTTTGTCTTCTTCCATGTTTACTTGCCTCATAACAAAAGGACTGCTACCTCAATGCCACCTAATAATACCCATTGCTCAACAACGTCAGAGCAGACTAATCAAGCTAGGAGTTACAGAAGTTGGTATCCTGGTTAGAACTCAGCTTTCAAATGAGTTTTAAAAATCTGATGCCAAGCAGTCACAACAATGTACGTATTGTAAATTTGTGTTGCAAAGAAAAATGTAATTACTGTAGCAACTGAATTAAAGTTTTTGATACTGTAGAACACATTTCATTTAGCAGAACACAAAAACCATCAAACCACCTTTTTTAAAGAACATGCAGTTATGTAAAAACTACATTTTTATATGCACTGAACAGCAGTGATTTGCACTCCTGGCTTTGGATGGCTGTAGTCCACCTGGGTTTATTGGAAACTTCTAATCTTCAAGGAGTAAATGTCTGGAAACAGTGAGAATAATTAATTAACTGTGTGAATAATTGGTTCAAATTAAGTCATCAAAAATCCTGGGTGAAATCAAAACCAAGAGACTGGTGGCCCTCCAGGACTAGGAATGAATATTGCGCAGGATATTTTAAGATGAGTTAGAAAGGAAATGTGGATTATTTAATTTTAGAAAAGGCTATTTCAAATAATATACATGTGGGGCAATTCATTATTTGATATTAAAATGGAAAATCATAAAATGTACCATTGAAAATACACTTGTAAGATAAGTAAGTGTTAAGAATATCTTTTTGTTTGTGAATGGACATAAATCACAAAGAAAAAAGATGTGATACTTGTTAACCATCTCTTAAATTCTGAGGCAGTTTAAAACGAGGGAAGGTTCCTTGTCTGTGTTGAGGCTTTGGTTCCATCTGTGGAAACAAGGGTTGTGGATTCAAATCCCCACTGAGAATGCTCCTGTTGTTGTGAGTGGGGTACTTCCCTCAGATTACGCTAATAAACACTCAGCTTGTGCTCAATTGACTTACCTAGTAAAGCTCTGGAACCAAAATAAAGCTTGTGGTGTCCTTTTTGGGGGAAGAAATGAGTGTATTAAATTTGTTCTCAGAAATACTTTTAAAAGTTCTAAAGAGCACAGTTGTGGTTATTTCAATAGATAATTTTACAGACTGAAGAAATGTGTGTGGGGCGGCAGGAATCCAGAATCAAGTGGACGTTTAAGTCTATATAGAACAGCCAGGGTCTCCATAAGGGTAATTTAATACATTCACCTGTCCTTGTTCCTAAGCTTCTCATTGATCAGAAGTCCTTGCCTTACATAGACACTTATTACTTAGTTCATTACAGTAATTAATTTCTCATAAATTAGCAGTTCAGAGGTGACATGGGATTGCGAGACATGCCTGGTTCTGGACTGAGAGGGGGTCTCTAGTAAAGAGTGTGAAAACACAGTGCATCCTTACCCTTGGCCTTCTGCATACAGCCAGTTGAGCAATAAGCTCTGAAGAGTGCACTGTGCCCACACCCTAGACATCAAAGAGACAAGTAAAGGTTTATTCCATGCTGAAATGAGAAGAAAGGAAACACAATGTTTCAACTGTGGAATAGACCTTTACCTTTTCCTTTGCAGCCTACGCATTCTGACGTAGCTTCCTACTTGAACAACTATCAAAGAGACAACACTACCCCTCCCCCCCCCCCCCCCCCCAACACACACATAAACACCCCGGAATGAATCCTCAAGCAAGTCTCATTGGGATCTGAAAACGAAGAATTGAGGGGGGCTCAACAGAGATCCAAGGCAGAAGGCTGCAGCATCATTTCCTCCCCAAAACTAGACTTAACTAGAGAAAAACAGAGTGAGGTGGGTAGGGGGGAACATGAGGGTTCAGGACCGCTGGGACAAACAGGAACCAAAGACCACCCAGAATGTCTTCACTGTGGTGTAAGCAGGTACGCTGTCTTGTCTGGTCAGTGGGTACACTGGTGCTTCTGAGAGATCTAAAGAACCTGTTGTGGCAGGAACAAAGGGTCCTAGAGCAGTTCCAGCATTTAGGGGTCACAATTCCGTGACAGTCATTATCTGAATGATAAAAGCATTTTCCTAGGCTGCGGTTTAAAAAGAGATTGGACCCTAATGTGAATCTGTTTTAAGAACTTTCTACGGGCATGGTAGGTATATCATCTTGAGTTCTAATCCTGAAAGATATTTCCAAACAGCTCTAAATTTGATCAAACGTATATATAAGTTATAGTTAAATATACATGGTGCCTGATATTTCATTCTAAGCTGTCTCCAGAATCTGCACACCAAGAATTAACCATTTCGTAAAGGGAATAAAATGTTTTTATATATATATATTAACGCAAATCTATGAGGTAAAGCTCAGTAATTGTGCAGTTGACCTAGGCCAGCGTGAAAACATACTACCTCATATTTATTGTTAACATAGACTCAGTTTTCCTTTTGGTAATTGCATTAGAGGATTTTGTATATCTTGTCCCAAAAATTCGCAAGGTCGCAGGCATTGTTTATCCTTTCATGTCAGTGAACGATGTAGTGATGATGGGAACAGATTCCAGAGATAATTCAAAGGATGAAAAATGCCTCAAAGATATTTGAAAAGTTTATACGCGTAGCAAATTGCATAATTCTCGTTGTTGTCGCCTCCATTAGTGTGTATCGATCGAATGAAATATGTGAAAAGTAGTTCAGCTTTCCTATTGCACTTTACGATGTACAGTATTTGTAACGCTCTACTATACTACCAGTGGTACGTGTGTCCGTTTTGCTACCTTTAACCTCCACGGGTTTTCATGGTTTGTACAGAATTGTTTTTCACACAATGGGAGAAAGTACGACCCTGCGTCTGTTGATATTTGAACTTAACTTTTAAAATGGAGCTTTCTTGTCAGTTTATTGCAATCTACTAATTAAGAAGAACCGTAATTGACAAAATTGCATATTTATCTTGTGCGGGATCCGATTCATCTTGCCTTCTCAGAAGAGTTATATCCTTTGTAATGTCATTATTTAAGTTTATTCTAATTGCAAAATGCGATCTGGCTTTCATAAACACAGAATTATGAACTACTATCGGGATGATCTCCGCCAGACCTCAGTTCAAAGATTCAGCTAAACTCAGCGGAAGAACATATTACTCAAAACAACTTCGTGTTCCTCACTTCATGAACCAATTATAGGAAGATCGCGGAATATATTCTCTTGTATGTGATTATAAAATGAATGGTGCATTGGGTAGTACGCCGATAGCAACAAAAGAGTGAGAAACTACGTATGAGGTGGTGTATGAGTAAAATACAATTTTATTATTTCGTGAGGACTCACAAAGCTCAAGATTAATTCCCTTTCGCCAACACCTTCAATATGATGAGATTTTCTTGTGTGTGGACAAAACGCAACCCTGTAGTTCGTTTCAGTTAAGGTTTTTTCTCCAAAAAATTAACGTTCAGCGAATTAAGTTGCAATCGTTGAGAATCGCAGCGTTTACCCAATAGCATCTGCTAGACGATTACGTGTGGCAGGGCATTTGGGTCAGGTTGCGCATTTGCAAAACACAAAGAAAATATGATGATGATGAATGGTTCAATACCTGTCTCAACATCAGCGCCTTTGGAAACATACTTTATCTTTTTGACAAGTATTTCTAATTTTGAAAATAAAAAAAATCAAAATCTATTGTTGTTTGTACATCGTAAGGTCCATCCACCAAATATGAAGGAGAGATGTTTTCTGAAATTCTGGACTAAAAAAGGGGGACAAAATTGCGTGGTGCTAAAAAAAAATGCAGAAAACCAGAGTGCCCTCTGGTGGACAATGAAACTTTAATTGAATGGAAAACCGTGTACCGCAGATGTGTCAAGTGACTCCGAGAAGCAGGTACTGTACTGTATGTCTTGGCTGTGGTAGAGGTCATAGAATCTAAGATGACATGGTTGCTAGTTGACACCCACAAAAGTCCTCTGCTGCCTACACAGACATTCAAGAGGTTTTTAGCCCAATTATAAATTTCTGCTTTAAGATGTATACCCTCCTAGTAGATACTAAAACTAAATCCTATTAGTCTGTGCTTCTAAGATAAAGAAACAAAATAAAACTGAATTGCAAAGACGCATGCCATCATCCTAAATTTCCCCTTTGAGAAACACAGAAATCCTTCTCTAGGGAAAGAGGTCCAGTGAATCAGCAGGTTTTCTAGATCTGTTTTAAGCACCAGCACCTGATCCAGTTAAGCCAATAATTACCCATTTCAGGTGACCATAGGGCTAGCAGGACTGAAAGTCTGTAGAAAAACTAGCCCTCTAGAAGCAGAACTGGGAATCCCTGCACTTAGGCTTTTCGAGGGC